GAAAAAATCCTTTCTTAGTCTAATATCTGGAGTGGTGCTCAGTCTTTGCTTGCTCAAACAACTTCTGTGGGGGAAGCAGAGCAGGTTTTCAAAGCCTTCCCTCAGCAGTGACCTGTTTCCATTCCTGTTCAGTTTGATGGCATTTGTATGTGTCTTAATTCCCAGCTTAGCTGTGAGATGGTAGGAGACCTGTTAAGATTTTCTGAGAAGGGGTTGCTAGACCAAGCATACTTTCAGGACTGACAGAATCTCCACCATCCCTCAGTTTGGGCCCAAAGATGATGGCAAAGTTATTTGAAGCTTTTCTTGTTATTTAGATAGCATAGTTAATTTTTGAAGTTTTTTAGAAGTTACTGATTAAAAGAGAAAGTCAAGCAGCTTCTTTGTCCTTCATTTATTTTATCAGCCATCATCAGAGTTCAGCCCACTGACTTAATAACATCCTGGAAGATCGACAGCACTCAAGTGTACTAGCCAGATTGGTTTTGTTTATGACTCAAGAAAAAGTACCTGTGCTACACAGTGCTACCAACAAGCTCCACTTGACTCAGTCAGGCCTTCCAAGGAAAGGATTACTGGGTTATTACTTCTCCTGTAATATTTTTCTAACTTGTTTTCTGCTATTACTTTAGCACCAGTTGAAGTCTAGGTGGCTAAGAGAGGGTTGCTGTACAGAAAACAGACTGAGAGAAAACCAGACATCCAGCTTGCAAATTTCAAATGCTGTAATGAAATATATCGTTAAACAGGCTTTATCCCCTGAAGACATCTCAGCATTTTCTAGTCTGAAATCATTGAGACTCCCAACACCAAAAAAAAAACAAACCAATGAATTGAGCTTCTTTGCACCCCCTCCAGTATGTCTGCAGTAGGAGAAAGCAGTATCTTTGAGGGTCAGGTTGCAAACAGGAGCAGTGCTGCTCGCCAGCTGCTGAACACTCTTGAGCAGCACAATAGGGAGCCTCTGGTTCAGCATTCAAAACACGGGTGCTCCTGCTCTGGGGTGTGTTTCATCCGCACTAGCAGGCAGGTGTAGCTTAATGTCCACTGCAAGGAACTGATGGGCTTTTTTAATGTTCTTTTTCCCTTTTTCCAGGATGAAGCCAGTGAGCAGCAGCAATGATGTGGCTATGGATGCCTTAGATTTTGATCGAATGAAACAGGTGAGTGTAAAGGTCTTTCACACCTCAGAGGATTGATGAGCTACCCATTTTCCCCCATGCATGCGCTGTACAAGCAAAACAGCTGTTCAGTCTTCTGATTTCCTCTACACCTAGGTGCTTAGAGGAGGACTAGATGGTAAGCAGCAAGAGAGCACAATCTCACTGCTATTTCATCAAGATGTCTGTACATAAATGTGCAAATAAATATGCCAGTATCTTCTGCATCCTTGGCCTGGGAGTGCAGATGTAGCTGTTAGTAGTGCTAGGCTCTGATCATCAGAGGAGGTGGGGGACAAGCACAACCGTATTAAACTTGCATTTTCTTCCACCAGTTAGAAGGAAATTCTGAGCAGCTGACTTGTGTTTTGTCTCATCAGGAAATATTGGAGGAAGTTGTAAGAGAGTTACACAAAGTGAAAGAGGAGATAATTGATGGTAAGAAAGAGAAAAATTATTATTTTTCTCATCTTTATGACTAATTTCCCATAGATAAGATGATAGGAACTGCAGAGAGTTCCCTGGTGTTTTCAGACTTCTGTGAGCAGCTCTGATTTATATACACATTTGAAGAACAAGCATCTACTTTGAGCTCTGATCGTGACACTGTGTTTACATCCTCTGTTTTTTTGCTGTTGATGAGCATTTTCACTCCCAGCCTGTGAGAAATTCACTGGCTGATGTTTCTCACAGGTGAGAGGATGAGAGATGACCTTCCTGTAGCATGTCAGTTTATCACAATCAGGGAGTGTGAAATCACTTGTAACTAGCCGGCCACACAGGTTGGGATGAGGAGGGGACAAAGGTACCAAACTGAAAATCCATCCCGAGCATCTTCTGTAGGTTTCCTATTCTTGTAGAGCTATTTCTGACCTTCATTCAATTCCAGCTTTCCAAATAGCCATGTATTTTTATAACTTATTGAAAAGTACAACTGTACTAAATGTATCAGTACTGTTTTACAAATTGCTGTGCAATATATAACTAAATGTGTTTTTCAGGGCCATTATTGAAATGCACAGCAAAATCCGTATCTGAAGCCCACATTAGGGCATATGAAGATGCATTTCCACACCCTGTGCTCCCCATATTAGATTCACACAGAAGGGGAAAGAGAGGAGACTGTAAAACAGCTAAAATCCATTCCCCGTCCCCTTGCTCTAGACCTGTGTGCTCACAAACCCTTGGGCAATTTGCAGTTGAGGAGACCCTTGCTACCATCCCAGCAGCTTGGCCCTCAGAGCCTTCCTAGTTCATTCCAGTGCAAAATAAGACATTCACATAAACCGCAGATGCAACTTCTTACACCAGTACTGCAGTTTGCAAGCAAACAGCTGCCTATCCTTACTCATCCTTTTACCCTCCACTCATCCTTTTACCAGCGTGTACTTTCTGCAACCTCTATACTTAAGGTTTTCCATCACACTGGGTATGACATTACTCATTAACCTTTTGGTTTGGTTTTCTAGCCATACGGCAGGAGTTGAGTAGAATCAGTACAACATAATGATTGCAAAGCATTTGGACGGTACTAAGAATGCTAGGAAGATCGGATCATTTCTAAGTGTACCAAGGTCATGCAAGATGGTGAGAGAGGACACCGGCACTGTCTTTGTTCTTATACCCTTTTTATTAGCAGACTCAGCACACTTTGAAGCTTGTTGCTGCCTTGGATTCACTTCATTTTAAAAGTCTTAATCTAAAGAATATTAAATTTTAAATTTCTGGATTTTTTAGATTTCATCTGACACTGCACATTGGATTTGTCAGCCTTTTTTGTATTTTGTATTTGCTTATTTAAATGTATTACCTTTCTTTTTAGTAGTAGATAAGAACACACGTGAACCATTTGCTTTTGATAGATGACTTCAAAGTAATTTTACTAGTAGTCTGCAATGTAAATGAAGATCCTTTGCCAACAGAAACGTATTGAGGCATCACAAGAAGAAACAGAGACATGTTAGTTGTCAGCCAACAAGTTCTTTGTCTCAGAGTTATCACAATATAAAAAAATGGTACGTCAGTGCATCACAGTATCTGTGTTCATATTGGTAATAAACTGTTTATTGTCCACATGGCCCTGCCTTTCTTTGTTTCATTCATCACTTGAGCTGCACTTTTACATCACTTGAGTTAATGATGAGAGGAAAGTGACTGAGACTCAACTGCGGGTTGACAGCTCTGCCCAGCCAGTGCCACAGAGCAGGAGAGCCTGAGCAGACCCAGGAGAGGAGACAGGGTGAAGTGTGCTTTGCAGTTAGTTGTAAAATGTTACCTGCTTTGGCTTGAAAGGCTTGGGACTGCTCTTTAGCACTCCTCAAATTAAGTCTGCCTTTTAGAAGACAATCTGGTCTTTACAATGTGGGTCTACTGCAGATTAAGTACAGAAGTCCATGCAACAGTGAGCTCCAGCCTGAGCCTGATGGCTGTTAGCCATTTAATGCCAGCAGGAGGTGAGAGACAGGTTAAACAGTGAGGTAAGATTCCACATGGGAATTAAAGCTGTCAGACATTGATGTGCACCCCAGACAACAGCCCCCGAAGCACAAGAAGGAGCCTTTCCAGTATGAAGAGCACAGGCAAGGATCAGTAACAGCAGCGATTATAATGATCTCATACAGTAGCTCATGTGTTTCTTAATTATAAACCCATTTAATGGCAAACCTGACAATGTCAAGTATTTTTCAAAACTGCTGCCTCTCAGATAATCACAACCATTCTGTGAAACTCTCCCATAATCTTAACTAAGCTTGAGGAAGCTGGGGGCTGGCATGGCTCACTTTCTCTCTTGGAATGTGGCATTATGCCTGAGGTCAGTAATAACCATGTTGTAATTCAGGCCGAGCGTACACCCTGGATATGGTGTGCCCTCTGTTAACATCAGCCACCCGCTGTAAATGAGTTTTTTTTACTACATTCTTCTTCTGCCTTTGCAGGCCTCATATAATTAAGACATAATAAGCTGAAGTTTGCACACTGCCACTTAATAGCTGTAGGAGCAAGGTGTGCCCAAGTGGAAGGGAAAGCTTGGCTGATAGAAGCAGGAGAGCAGACCTGCCAGCACTAGCACTTTGCTGGTTCCCAGCTTATGGGGATGGGTGCCCAGGGTGGCTTATTTGCAGTAGTGGCAATGCCAGAGGATTTCACCTCCCAGACACTAAGTCAGGTTGCCTGTTTACTCTGTGGAGAAGGGTGTCCTTTCATGCTGGGCTTGTTGAGCCGCTACAACAGGGCAGGCCATAGGCATTTTACATAGCAGAAATCAAAGGAGGCTTTAACTTCCACTCCTGACTTCAATACAGCAATTTTACTCCTATCTCTTCTTGCTAGAGCATTAGTGTGGCCACACAGTGAAGTGGATCTGAATTTATTATTAAGTGAAGAGAATAAACCTATACATAGCCCTAATGTACTTTTAACCCAGACCCACATACTCTGTGGTTATCAAAAAAACCCTGCTGCCAACATTAATGGTCGTGGCCAAGACAAATGCCCATGCAAAGGATGAGATCACAGCCTTCTTCAGCAACACCCACACGGTGAAACAGCTCACACCACACATCTGCCCGTACCAGGCTTCCAGCCACTTCAAATTCCCATGGAGGTGGAAAGCACAGAGCAGGAACTACCCGGGCAAAGCAAGCGGGGACCATGATGAAAATATTGATGGGAAGCAGGACAAGAAGCAGTTGCCAGGTTGGTTACTCATGCTTACAGCATAGCCTCTGTGTCAGGCTAGGCTAGTAATCTGTAGACCGCATATGTCTGTTCATCATGAAACAGCTGAGTAAAGAACTATAGAAAGATCAGTTGCCATAGAGGAGGAGGACAATAGTCAGGTTGAGGAAGATAGATAGTATAATCTTTATTGTGGTTTTTATATTAACTTGCTAAGTCAGCCAAGAGAGTTCAGGAAGCATACATGAAGTTGAGTATGTGATTGTGAAGTGCCAGCAGCTCTGAAGTGAATTAATAAAAGCCTGAAGCTTCCTGACATGAGCACTGATACAATGAAGTTAATGGAGATTCCCACACCAAAACCTCTTCCTCTGGGAGAAAAAAAAAAAAAAAAAAGGCTTTAATAATTAAGATATAACATCTTAAGTATGTTCTTCACTGAAGAACCAGTCAAGTCTGAAGTGTCAGAATAGGCCCCAGTCTTCCTCTTCTTTTCCAGAAGCACAACCCACTGACCAAAATAGTATCTGAATGAACTGGTATTCTCTCCCTGCATCACAAAGGATCTTGCACCACTGAGCAAACCTGTGTATTTACCAGATTCATCGGACAGATGAGAAAAATGGAGAAGGGGAAAATGGAGGAGGAGGAACCCGAATTGGAACAGACTAGCTCAGCTGCCTGATGTGCCAGGTAGCAAACAGACAGGCTTACTGGATCCAGTGCTGTAGAAGGAAAGAATGAAATTATGCATATTAAGGAAATTGGGCTTCCCAGATCTAATAACATACTTTGAGGAACCAATGAGAATGCACTATAATCCTTTCCTTTGCTACAGACATGGATTTCCAGGAGAAAACATAAAAGTTAAATTGTTAGAGGGTTAGAGTATAAGAAGGCCTTTATAGAACTCTCTTTTAACCGTTTACTAAGGATAGAAATAAGTCATCAGCTTTCCAGGGTGGAGCAAAGTTATTAGATGGCATCTGAATTCCTGACCCCCAAGATACTGTTCTGCTTGGAGAAAGGTATGGTGAATAAGATTTTTGATGATACAGAATTATTCATGATAGCAGAAGTTTATAGTTTGAGAGTTCAGGCAGGACAATTTAACTGTTCCACTGGGTGGAAATGGCAGGTGAAGGCTAATGTCAGTAGCCCAAAGTAAGACATGTAGGGAGAGAAACAACCCTAGCTCCATGTGTATCTCTTTAACACCATCAGAGGCAACTTCTAAAGAGCTGGAGAACCACATGCTTCCCAAATGTCAAGTTGGTGTGCCTGAATGACAGAGGAAAAAACTTCCAATTATTCTAAAAGCAGTTAGGAACAAATACCACCGTAATGTCTCCATGTCTTCACTGACACATACTCCTAACTCTTATGCACAGAAACAGGTATAATGTAGAGAAGACCAAGAGAGGTGATCAGGAATGTTAACAACCTTGGCAAGCAGTAATTAAAACGAGAATCCTTCCATTTCCAAACAGACTTACAGTGAGGAAACGGATGAGAAACACAAAGTTTTGAACACTGTTGAACAGGTGGGTGAGAAAGGACTGCCTGGTTTCTCCATGTGCACATCCTGCTGCTGATGAGGCAGCCAGCAGAGGACTAAAGGAAGGGTTTCTCCACACCACAGTTCAGCTCTGCTAGTTAGGTACAATGAGTTATATCTGATGAATAGAAATGCATTCAGAAAAGGTTTAGACAAAGTCCTGGAGTAAAGGTCAAACAGCGGCTACTGAAATAATGATACAAATGTACAAAAAACATACACATACTCCAATGAATATACAAAATCTCAGCTACCATCAATTATCAGAGGATACTGGGTTAGATATGGCATTGAACTAAAGGCACTCTTGTGTTCTCCAGAAAGTATCTTTTACTACTGTGTGGCAGTCCTCCGTGCTTCCACAGTCCTGTGCACACAGAGCATCTACATCTTACCTGGCATGAAGGGAAACCAGTCCAAAACTACACACACTCATGCTCACACATACACGCATCAAGCATTCTACATTCAGATAAGGCCAAAACTCAGATGTAGGCACATGTGGCCCAGGAAGTTAATTCTAAGCCTAGGCCAAAAGTTCACATAATCATAGCTTACTCTAATCTAGTTTCTCAAGGTTACATACACAAATATCCTTTATTAAAAAGTATCAATAGTCTAAAATAGTGCATCCAATTGCTTCATTTCCATACTTATCCTCTTCGTCTAAGGAGCACACACCAATGCTAATTCAGCACACACAGACATCCTCCTACTTTGCAGAGAAGTCATTCAAATGAACAAACAAAACACCAATGCAGCTGGCAGAGCTAGTCTGTTAGCTTTCTTTTGCCAGCTTGCATAGTCTCTTAACCCTTGAATAAGGACCAATTGTGTCATCAAAAATGAAGTCCCACAGAACCCGAATCCAGGACTGGTGATGTGGAAGGTTATCATAATATTCTGCTGCAATCTTCTTCACCTGGAAGAAGAAGAGAGAGAAAGATCTATTTAGCTGCAGTGTCAGGTGTGTTTCAGTCCTTGCATTTAGATCTGATAGCACAGCCATAACCTGAAGTTACTTGTTAACTGCTTGTGAGCTTCTGAAGTTCAGCCAACACATTTAGATACTTCTTAGCAGATTTCTGATGTAAACTTTGCCTCACAATGTCAGAATTTGAAAGATGATGGATCACTGCTTTCAGTCAGAGCTATTTTGTCTCATTTTGGTGGTGGAGTGATCTCCACAATAAAATGCCTAATCCACTTTATAAATGACTGAGAACCAACCTATATTTAAAGCCCTGTTCACCACTCATAATACTTGTCTTCGGAAGGTTCTGGGTAGGAGAGAAATACCAATTGAGAAAATACCAGACACAGCCTGACCTGCACTTCAGGGCTTTTTTATCTTGATTCTGCTAGTGTGTTTCAAATCTGAGAGATGGGTTCCTCCAGCAGGCAGAGGAAATTGCAAGGGTGGTCTGTCCCCCTCAGTCTGGTGTTAAAAATGCTGCAAGATTCATTATTAGGTCAAAAGTCTAATAAAATTTCATCCCTTTTACAAATCCCCAAGCCTTAGGACTGTTGCCATCAGAGAACCGTTGTGCACCATTGGGGGCGGCACTTGTATGAGGAGTAAGGCTGGAACCAGAAGACAAAGAGGTTTCAGACCTGGCAGGTTCAGGGAACTATGAGGATTCCCAAGTTGTCAGTAGTTCCTGCTCTAGCTAGATGCTCTGCTTTCTGAACACACTTACGAAGCAGCAAAGTCTGCTAACTATTGTACACTTGCACATAAACTGCTTGGGCATGGTTTTACTGCAGCTCCACCTCCCAGACACACAGCTCTATTCTAGAGTAGTTTGTCTTGCTGGACAGCATGAATCCTCTCTTTAAAAACTGCAGAATTTTAAAGCCAGCTATGCTGAGCACAGCATAGGTTTCCAGTGAAGAGCAAAAGGGTTACACAGAAATTGTCATCCAGGAGGAGAGTCTCATCAGCATCTGAGCTGTAACAGTGGAATCTTAACACAGCATAAAAAGGTAAGAATCCCAGCAGAAGTTAAATTATAAGTCAGTATGGTTCACTGATAGTTATTACCTCATTAATTCAGCTTCCTAGGAGACACTTCTCTGTGAGATAGTTTGGTAACATACAAGTTTCATTAAGATCTTTTACCTTGTTACCTCAGCCCCTAAGCATTCCCTGTGCTCATGGCATGGTGATGCTCTGTTGGAGGCAGAAGATTCAGTTCAGGTCTGGTTGTATTCTGCCTTTCACTGAATACCTCCAACTTTCTAATAATTCCCTATATCCTACTTTCAAGGGAAGGTCTGTAAGCTCCCTTGACTCCCTTGAATGAAAGCCACTACTAAGGCCTGCTGCAAACACAGAGGGAGTTTCAGATACCCAGCCCCAAAAGCTTCACTCCGGCTCTGACATGGTCATTCCCTAGCACACTGCTGCTTACAGACCTTCCCTCCTACCTCCATTTTAGAAGTTCTGCCTGAATTTTGACTTGCAACAGTAATTTAGCCCTCATCCATACTAGCCAAGTTCATTTAACAAGTCTACCATTCCCCTCCAGAGCTTTTTCTTGCTCACAGAAACAATGCTCTGAAGCAGACACATTTTCTCAGCTAGTTATCTGCAGAGCTCTTGATCATGTTAGACTGATGGCTATGAGGGCTTCAGAAAGTCTTTCTGTATTGCCCCTTGGAAGCAGATGGCTGGAGATTAACAAAAAACAATTCAGCTCCTAGGAACAACGCTTCAGGGAACAGCTGTGCCCTCTGGCACTAAAGGCTAACTAAAAATTACCCCAGTGATGAAGCAGGAAATAAAGGGCTCCAAGAAGTGGCCAGTAAACAGCCCATCTATGTTCAACCCAGTAACTTCTGTGTTTTCAGCAAACACGAGCAGCAATATAGTCTAGGCATAGTGCTGAAAAGCTCAGGTGGACACAACATACAGGTCTGGAAAATTGAACTCAAATATATTCCATACACATATTCTGCAGTTGCATTATGAATTTAAAATGGGCACCTAGAATACAGGTGTGATTTCATAAGTAAGATGATTAATAAGAATAATCAGCAGTGAATTTTGAAGCTCATACACATCATATTCTGGAAGCAGGCAGCCTGCTTCAGCATCAGCTGGCAGAAGAGTTGCTTGTTCACGAAGTGTATCTGTTTAGCATCTTCCTGCAGCATATGGTGGCAGCTCATTCTGGCTGAGAAGGTCAGTATGGAAACCACAAGAGATAATCAGAGACTTGCACTGGAGTGTGTCACCCTAGATCAGCCATGGGACAGTGATTCACACCTACATGAAGTGATTCTTTTCTTTGCTTGGCTTTGTGCCCAGCAGCACCTTGTGCAGGAAAGCAGGCAGCACTTCCACCATTGGGAAGGTCCCTGTGCTCTGGGCAGGGCAGTTGTATGGGATGCACTGAAACAACAGAGAGGAGAAGGTAAACTACAGTAAAATATTTGCGACAGAGGAATCGGGAAAATGGAAAATAAGGGTTTTCTTATGGAAAAGACAAGGAAGTGTGTTACATGCATGTTCCCATTTTGCTATCACATGGCAGGAAAGAATTTTTGAAATGGCTTCTCTTTTACAATGAATCTGTGCAGAAGTTTCACAACAAAACCAGCTCATCTATTATAATTTCTTTCAGCATCTCCATATGTAAAACAAAATTATCATCTCCTCCATACCTACCATAAAATCTGGGGGTGGGAAGACAGAAAGTAATTATGTTTAAATGCAGATTCCCTTTTAAATACAACATTTAACTAAATCTATTAAGTATGTTTGAGGCTGAAAGAGTCATCCTCCATGTTGCATTCTGGGTGCAGTATAAAAACTGCAGTTTCCGTATTGCAAGTTTTGCAGCCAGATTAGAGATAGTCTCAAAGAGGATTGCACTGTGACAAAGTATTCCTAAATTCTGATCCTGACTTCCCCATCAAGCTCTCCATATTGCTTTGGAGAGGGTCCATGCAAGGATAACAAGAGATCTCAAAATCTGCAAGAAGTTTATCAGGCACTTGGCATCTGGTATCTTTAGGCTTCTCTTAAAACAGATCAAGGTGGTAGGTAAGAAATCACATCTTTTAGACTGAAAGTTTTCTTCTGCTTTTGTGCTTGCAGAGCCCAGGAACAGGACTCCAATCCAACACCATTGTATCTGGTAGGTGCAAAAGTTAAATGCGACCTAGTAATCACCACAGCTGTTATAGACCCTTTGTCCTGGACCTATACATAAACTAGAGATCCTTACGACAAGACTGAAAAAGTTTTTTTAGAATGCTAGAAAGCACATTACAGAAGCTTATTCTATAGTCCTTGACCAGCCCTGGAGCACTCAAGCTAGCCTTCCTGGCCATCACAGGGTTAAGGCAATCTGCAATTCAAAACCAGCACATCTACCATGTTTTCCAGTCTTGTCTGTCTAATAAATCTGGTTGCATACCATGTCTTTTCCCACAAGCTTAATGAGTAACTAGTTTGCCCCTGGTAGTGCTGCAGTTTTTATTGCAGTTTGTAGGACAAGTACTGAGTTTCTCCTCCTCCTGTCCCCTCTCTGATAAATATATTCAATCCTCCAGATAACGAAGAATGGCTCTTTTACTCATTTCATAAGCAATGCAATGTTTTATAATTATAAGGCTTCATGAAAAGACTGATCCCGTCCTAGTTTTTTTTTTTTTTACAGCAGGTCCTTCATTGTAATGTTAAAGTTCATGGTCTTTTGCATAATCTCTCTTACACTAGTGGGACAAGTTCTTACTGCACCCTTATGTCACTCATCCTTAATATCTGTAAGTTTATAGCACAGCCTAACTCTTCCTCTTTCAAAGGTCTTTCCAGTGGCAAACACATTACTCAGAACATTCTGAATGACACGCCTGTAACAAAGGACAAAACTGAATTTACTTTTCTGATAAGCAAGCAGAAGAGCCAGTTAGTTTCCAAGATCCAGTTATTCTCTGATCCTCTTTTTCCCCTGCTCTCAATCCTGTAGGAACTAAATAAAGATCTTTATTTCACTTTTTACTTGCCAATTATTAAAAATTAAAATATGTAGATTTAAAGGTCAGCCATATTTCACAATTCAGCTATTTGAAGTGTGTAAGAGACTAGATCTGAAAAAAATGCACTTCTGTTGAGTGAGGAATTTGCTGGGAGGTTAAGCAGAGGAGAGCAAGGGGAGGATTCTACCCCTACCTGCAGTGGAGTTCAAACCTTAAAGCTCTCCAGAGGGAATCTGTTCCCTTATGTCTTTCCACCAGAGACAGAGATTTTTTCCTTATAGAATCACAGAATCGTTAGGGTTGGAAAGGGCCTTAAGATCATCCAGTTCCAACCCCTCTGGCCATGGGCAGGGACACCTCACACTAAACCATGTCACCCAAGGCTCTGTCCAACCTGGCCTTGAACACTGCCAGGGATGGAGCATTCACAGCTTCCCTGGGCAACCCATTCCAGTGCCCCACCACCCTTACAGTAAAGAATTTCTTCCTTATATCCAGTCTAAACTTCCCCTGTTTAAGTTTGAACCTGTTACCCCTTGTCCTATCACTACAGTTCCTAAATTCTTCTCATTTCATAGCAAAAGAAAAAAAAACAACTTGTTTTAGTGGACAAAGGATTCTCTTCAGTAACTGTTTGCCAAAGGATTTTCACTTCCTAATACATTCTCACTTGTGATTGATCACTCGTGAAAGACTCAGTTTTTCACATAGTTCAGACAGACAACAATGATTAACAAGCCTGATATCTCCTCCACCAGCAGTGCAAGTCTTAGTTGCCCGAGAGTGAGAAACACATGAACATGAGCCCATCAAATTCAACTAATAACTCTTTCCTCTTCAGACAGGAGGGCAGACACTTCCAGCTGCTACACTGCCTCAAGGAATTAGGCTGAACTGTGCGGTGGGTGGGGAAGAGCTTTGCAGGTCTCAATCAGGTCTGGAGCAACACTCCCAGGAAGTTCAATTAGTCACTCACCTCCCTTGTATAAGATACAGAGCTAAATTTTTCTTCTATTTACATTTCAGTAATTTAAGTATCTAAGCCTATCTAACAAGTTTGAACATTTCAAATTAAAGCTAAGCTCAGGCACTTCCCCACTGAGCTATCGGGTGTATCAGCAATGGGAGTGCCTGTCAGGAGAACTTCACATGTGAACATGGGCTGCTTTACCAGCTGCTCTGAACCCTGCCAAGAATGGCCAGCTTCTTCAGGACAGACTTCCAGCAGTAAAGGTGTGTTAAAACAGAACTACAGGCTATATGGGGGCTCCCCACACTTGTGGCTCTACACCACAAGAAAATCTCCTCTTGCTTTAAATCTCCTCTCAGACAGTGTTTCTGTTACATTGAACCATAAATCAGGGTTTGCCTGGACATACCATCATAAAAGTTGCACGTGTTACACAGGAGCAAGAGGTCACAGCTCCTGAACTTCAGATTCCTCAGCTCTATCTCCACCTCATAAGGATGTAGCCCCCAACTTTGCATCAGACCAGCAACAGAAGATGTTTCCTTCCTACTACGCCAGAGGATTTGTATGTAGGAGTAATACTTTGAAGTCACGTACCTCTAACACTGTGAGCACCTGTTCAGGAACCCTCATATTAAAACCCAGAAGAGCAGCTACGTACCTGGAGGCAGATTGAAAACCATTCCTAGACACCTGGGCTTTGCAAATTTGATTCCCACAACTGATAAAACATAAACAAAAAGTGGCTTGACTTTCAAAAGAGGAAAGACGCAGCACTTTCCGAATGACAGATCACCCTCAGTTTCTGGGGGGGGGGGGGCAGCAGAGCTAAAAAAAGTCATGTAGAGCGGAGCTTTATTTTCTAGTGCTATTTGTGTCAGCCTAGAACATGCCCCAATACTTACGTCATCTCAAATATAGAAAGACTTTTGTTTGATGTTAGTCAAGCAATATAATTAGCAGATTGATTGTTAGACAAATTTCAAGTAGTAATTGCCACCTGCCTTCCTTTAGCTGGGCCTTTAAACTTTCCAAGAGATAAAAGCTAGTGGCTAAAGGAAGAAAACTGAGAAATTTAGAGCGTTGTTGGAGGGTTTTATCAAAAAGTATTCCTCAAGACCTGTAAGGCTCAGATGTTCTTGTTTCCATAAACTAAACTAAATATTACAGCAGTTTGGTAGCCATTTCTCTCAATCTCCTGCTTGAAATGGAAGAATTAGAAAAAAATGAAAAACAAAATATTTTTTTCTTTTCAAAACTGATCCATTGCTATGATTTGGAGTGATTTCTTTGAGACAGTTTAGCAGCTTTTACAAAAATCCAATTCACTTGTGCTCATGCCATACTCACCATTGGCAATCTGCATCCGGGAATGCTGGGGAAGTCATGATGCTCCATGTGGTAGCCTACATTAAAGGTGAGCCAGTTCAGAGGTCCATAATAAGAGTATGTCTCATACCCTTTTAAGAACATGTAGTGTTCAGCTATGAAGTGTCCAGAAATGGGATGTAAACCCATGCAAAGAATTGAACCTGCTATTAAATAAATAATAGGTTTGAGCCCCCAAAGGTAATAAATTATAAGGTCTATGGAAAACTGGGCAAGAGCATTAAAAATTTCCATCTGTGTAATTGCTTTGGGGTTCACATACAGTGGTCTCAGACTGTAGAACAGAGGCTGGAAAAAAAGCCAAAGCAGTTTCCGAAGCGGCGTACAGAAAAACCATCCTTCAAAGTCTGTGGGAATGTCCACATCCAGGCTGTCCCCACCAAGATACCGATGATGGTCGATGTGGTATTTCTTGAAGGAAGCAGAATAAGGGATGCCAATAGGCAAGTTGGCAAAGATTGCAAACCATCGGTTCCATTTTGTCTGCTTATTCCCAAAGGCGACGTTGTGTGAAATATCATGGATGGCTAGGGTCAGTGAGTGGTTGATGCAACCCCCAAAAGCATAAGCCCAGAAAAAAATCCATTTCCAAGATAAGTCTTTTACCAGGTAGCATGCTAGAAACTGCAGGAAAACCATTCCAGATACAATCCACTTTAAGTGTGGATCTGGTCCCATGAGAGTCTTGATTTCTGGATATTTTGCTAAAGGGAAATATGAAGAGAAATATCTCATTAGATCACAGTCAGGTATATGTAATCACCACTGGGCTCTCTATTTTCATCACCCTCTGTTTGAGGCCCTAGATTTATCAAATGGCTATTCCAAAGTGGAATTGCCACTACAGTGAAAATTTTACTAATGTATGGCCTCTATTCCCACTTTCAGCATCATGTCCAATTGTGGTTGATATTGTTAAATATAAACGTATAGAGTCACATAAAAAAACTACTCTGATGGTCAATATGTGCCTTCAGAATGGTGAGTATTAATATGCCAAACCCATCAGGTTTAAGCTCTAAGAAACACCTTCTGTAAGTTTTTTATTTCCTTTTATATTTTGCCTAGCCCAGGTGCTATATTCCACAAAGGGATACAACTGCTCTCTTTGTAGCCCTTTTCACACTGTTGCTTCAGATGTGCAGCAGAGAAATAAGGCTGAGCAACAGGCTTGTCAGGTTTTGCTCTGTGGTTAGATGACAAATGTAGCATTAAAAAAAAATAAAATTCCTAAGTATTTGAGTGTTCACCAGTGCTTACAGCATGTACAACTCCTTACACATGGTAACATCACAAGAAAGTCAGCAAAATCATCAGGAATTTGTAAGACAGAACATTTTTCTCTGTTCTCATTCATTAGCTTGTTCCCAAGTCACATACCAAAACCAGGCATGAAAGTCACATAGAGCGCAACAGTTTCATGCAGCTTCACAAACGCTACAATACAGTATCAGAGAGACATGGCTTGGCTTGAGTTGTGCCAGGACAAGACCACGTTACTGATCTGTGGTTCTACTGGCTATTTGTTTAGCCTTTTAAGAAAAAGAAAATACTCAGAAGTGCAGTTTATCTTCCAGGTGCTGTCCATTGTTTCGGGTCTCTTCTTTACAAACCCATACTTCTCACTTCCACTATTAATGTACACATGAATTTTTCCACTGTTTTATGGCCTTTAGGCACCTATTGGCCTCCTTCCTTTAGCTCATACTCTGCATTTCTCAGTAATTACAGCTTACACAGATAAGACTGTAGGACAAGTCACTCACTCTGAACCCTGAGGTTAGTGTTCCTGTAAATTTGAAGGGCAAATTTTACAACTAGAAAACTTTTATGGATTCTATGATAGAGAATATCATCTGACTGTAACAGTATGGTATCAACGCAATAAAATTGGATTATTATGATTTTCATCTATGCAGCTGTATATACTACAAACACTGGAGACAATACACATAACTTCACGTGACCTTGCAGGCAGTGGCAGGTACTCAGTGGCAGACTCAGAGAAGGTTGTTCATAGAAGTGAACCCTGACAAGTCTGCAGGTGCTTCATCAGAGACATGAAACACTGCTTAAGGAAACATGTTGATGTGGTCATGCTCTGCTGATGCTTCCAACAAATTTTGAGCCTTCTGGCCCACTTCAGCCCAGCTTGACAAAGGTTAGATGCAATAAAGATGATACAAATGCTGTGGAAGATGATGAAAAAAGAGATATTCTTAATTTTTCCTCTTGTGAGGACAAGGGGCAAAAATCACCATGAGGAGTATTCAAGCAAGAGAGCTATTACCCTAAGTGGTGGGAAAGGTTTTTAATAAAAATCTCTGGAAAGCCCATAGTTTTTATTTTGCTGTTTTGGTTTTGTCCTTGAGTTTGCAGTTTTTGAAACTATGGTTTTCACACCAGGAATGCTAACATACTAGAAGTTGCTGTCTGGTACCTACACAGGTACCAAAATTTTACACTAACTGTTGGTATATCCACTCTAGAGAATAACTTGATATAATGACCTGGCCAGAAAATCTGTTACAGAAATAGAATTTTGTGTGAAGCTTAGTGTCCTGCTTGGGGGCATCTGTCTGACACCGGGAAAACCCTTTAATAAATCAAACCACCTCAAATTTTCAGTCATGTGGTTGGTGGAGATAAGTTACTGCAGTCACCAGAAGGGATGAAGAAAGGTAAACCAACTAAATCTGTTCCTCAGCCTGGTCAAATTGAGGCCACTTTGACCAAACAAAAAAATATATATTGTTTTAATGGGATAAGGAAATGACTAAGAGATGCTTTACATTGTAGTTTGAGGAAAATTAGAGTTTTCAACCTATCTCTCTCTGTTGCAGCTAACAAGGACTGCAGATTAGATTTAAGAGGTTTCAGAGCAGTGACTGCCAACCAGCAGCAACAGTGCCTGAAAGCGGCAGTGCAGGTAGGCTGCATTTATCACAGGTGACAGCTATTAAGTAACTTGACAGGGTTTAATGTTAAATTCAACACATTATTAACTCCTCTCCAGCAGTAAATTTTTGCATACTGGTTAAACCACAAGACTGTGTCTGTTTATCATTAATACTGATAAACCCTTCCTGTTTCCGTGGCATGGGGGAACCTCAGGGAGCTAGGAGAGCTAGGTCTGCTTGGCTCACAGGAGGCTAAAACCCCCACTGGTAGAGTAGCCTGCTAGTAGGTAGACCTTTTGGTTCAGGAGCACTTCACATGCAAAATGTTGAATGCTGACCCTTTCAAAACTTGAGGCCACATACTCTTCAGCAAGACATATTTAATGTCAGATTAAGTGATCCTGATGACTGCGGTTTATATATAACATGATGACACAAAAATGTGACATCAATATGCATCTTATTTTTCCCTCATGTTCATTCCTTGCAGTTAGCTGAAGCAATGCTAGTAAGGCAAGATAGAGCACTTGCAGTTGAAGAACCTGGGTAACCCTGTAAGACTGCTGAGACAAGTGTCTGTAGATGCTGCTCAAACCAGACATCATCCATCTGCACACCCCAAATGTAACAGAGAAGACACAGGGCTACTGTGCGGTGCTGAACCAGGAGCCATAAAGGACTATCAGACCTGTGGTAGCTACACATTAAAGACCACCTTCATCTCCTACACATTGCACTCAGAAAAGTAAACAGACACCTACTCTTGAAACTGCAAAACTTTCACACTGCATATGAGCAGAGATTTTCATCATGCTGCTCTTTCCTGAATTGCTTCCATATTGGTCTTCCTCAGCACTTTTCCATTACAAAAATGATCAACTATATGACCAGAGTCCATTGCTTCCCAACAAGCACTGGGTCAGGGATAATGCATGATGATGGGCATAAAATGTAATCTGTATTGAGCTCTTCATTATGTGTAATTATGGCATGAAGGGGCACAGGAATAGGAGGTAGAGGGAAATGGAACCAGAACAGCTCCAGCTACTCTGTTGACTCCACAGCATGTTTTCCAGCCTGCAGCTTATTGAGAAAGACTCTTAGCTCCATGTGGCGGATAGCTTATCCACATGTGCTGCCTCTAGTTGTCCAGACTGAGCCTTTATGTAATTGAGAGGATGGGGATACTGGTGTAGATGTACAGCAGTGCAGAAGCGTGACTTTTCTGTCTCCGAGGTCAGCACACTGCAAATGCAGTGCAAGCACTTTAGTATAGTGGGTAGATGTACTTAATAATTCTGCCCAGCCAGCTCCATGGTCTCTATACCATAACATGTCTGTACCATGACAATGAAAGACAGCATTTCGCATTTGTACAACAGTGTGGATGAAAGGACAGCAGTCAAGAGACAACGAATGCTGCAAGTATATTTTCAGAATCACTCATAATTCTGAAACAACTCATTTACTGAATTAGCACTTCACAGGGAGCACGCCACTGTTGTGTGTAAGCATCAGCCATTTTTGTAGAGCCATGCTTCCCTCTGAAACACTCCTGACAGGTTACTCTGACTACGTATTTTTTACCTTGATGGTCCTCTTTGGAGATCCAGGAGCTCTCACCATAGCCCTACGCTGACCCTCAGCTAGGACTGGAGTAATTCTTCCTCAAGAAGCCATCAGCTGCTAGGTCCTTGTGCTCCTCCTCCTCAGGAGACAGGAAGTATCTTATTCTGAACCCTCACTCACCCTCTGTTCCTACTGACGTGTTCCTAGAATGACTCAGGAGAGACCCAGTTAGACCTCAGCGATGGCACCAGACACAATTTCTCATTGATGTGACACCACATGTTTAGTTCTCACATTTTGACATACATTGGATTTGGATGTGGGCAAGAACAGGAGCTGTCCACAAACACAGGGGTAATGGAGGTTTAAAAGAGCCACAGCCCTGCCTGCATCCATGAGAAGCTAGTAGTAACAAGAGAAGAAGTTTAATTTTCTCATCTTCCCTTATTTTGACCACAAGTGCAGTATACAGGTATAGTCCAAGTGGAGATAGTACTCAGTATAAGAATTTTAGAAGGCCTGTTATAAAGAAAGGGGTGTGGGGATTCTTGTGATCCTGCTGCCCTGGACCATGTTCTGTCAACTCTAAGTCCCTGCCAGAACAAATAAGAGACAACGGGCACAAGATATTAGCTTTACTGTGTCATGCCCTATGCTGGAGCTGGTATTTGTACCAAAATAAACAAAACAAAAGAAGTCAGTTTGCTGACATGACAGTGTTTTGTGTTTTAGCAGCTCAACTCATAAACATGCTCCTAAACAGCACAGCACACCTGAGTCCTCAGCACAGGAAATATATCAACCTGTTGGAGTGGATCCAGAGAAGGGTCATAAAAATGATCAGAGGGCTGGAGCACCTCTCCTATGGAGACAAGGTGAGTTGGTGTTGTTCAGCCTGGGGAAAAGAAAGCTTCAGAGTGACCTTACTGGAGCCTTACAATATACTTAAAAGGAGCTTATAAGAAAGATGGGGCCAAATTTTTAGTAGGTCCTGTATCAATATGACAAGGGTTAATGGTTTAAAACTAAAAGAGGGTAGATTTAGACTAGATATAAGGAAGAAAGGTTTTTTTATGAGGGTGATGAAACACCGGGACAGGTTGCCCAGAGAGGTGGTTGATGCCCCATCCCTGGAAATATCCAAGGTCAGGTTTGACAGGGCTCTTAGCTCTGATTTAGTTGAAAATGTCCCTGCTTACTGCAGAGAGGGTTAGACTAGATGACCTTTAAAAGTC